CCCCCCTCCCCCCCGAATCTCCCCACTGATCCGCCCATCGGGGTCACGAACGCATGAATGTGAATCTCGCCCACCCCCGTCAACCCACCGCCGCGGCCACTTCCATCCCCGACTGCACCTGCGTTCAATGAAGCACTCCGAGACGCGAGACTCTCCGTGGCCACCAACAAACGCAAGGCTGTCTCGGGCGAAGGCGATCGATCACGAGACCGAGGGCGTGGGCGGACCATGAGAGAGGTGCTTCCCGCCGTGGGGGGCCGCCGACTCCTGCCCCTGCTTCCGCCAGCGCTACGCCGCCCACCTCGACTGTCACTTTCCACAGCGTGGCTGCTGCTGCTGCTCTCAATCGCAAGGCTGGTAACCCTACTGCTGTCGCTGCTGCTCCCGAAATCCAGGCGACTCCGGACACGCCGACCGTGGCTTCCGTCACGCCCTTCGCCTCTACCGTCATCGGCCCCAGCCCCTGCTATTTGTGTCTCCTCATCCTGCAATGCTGACGCACGGCTGCGAAGCATGGGGAGATGCGCGAGGGGGGTCGGGGAAAGGGGCATTTCCGCGGAATTCTGTACAACACTTCCCGCCCTCCCTTCCTCCTCGATGCCAGCCGTTCCCAATGCATTTTCGCGCTCCCTCTCCTTCCTCCGCCCACTTCCCTCCCTCCCTCGATCTCGTCCACGTCGTCCGCGTCCTCGTTCAACAGGCACCCGCCCCGGCCTTGCGATGCCCGGGTTGGAAGTCAGATCCTCTCCATCCCCCGCCGTTACTGCCCCCTCCATGCCGTCCGTCTCCGAGGTCATGCCATCCACAGGCACGCTCGTCTCCTCTGCGGTCTCCCACAGCGTCGCCACGTGCGGGGCCAGATCCGCCAGCAAGCGCCCAAACCGGTCCAGCAGGGGGGCTGTGTCCCGCGCCAAGACTACCGCTTGCCGGCGACGGGCCGCGCGAGATCTTTCCAGTTGCTGGTGTCCTTTACGGCTCCGTCGGTTCCCTCGCGAGCCCTGCAGGCGCTCTTCGCGGAGCTGCTCCGCCCGCCAGGGCGAGAGATTCCCCCCCTCCTCGACACCCCCGCTCCCTTCCTCGTTCTTCTCCTCCTCCCCCTCCTTCTGCTCCTCCTCGTCCAAACCCTCCGCCACCGCCTCTTCCTCCATGTTCTCCACCAAAGGCACAAAATATGCTTCAAGCCTGCGAAGCATCAGGAGAACTTCGGGCAAGACCCGTCGGAGATCATCCCGTCCCCGCACGGGCAGGGGCAGGCGCGGGGCAGCAAGCGGTGTTGGTGACAAAAACGGCGCCTGCAGGTTGTGCGTCGTTCGCGTGCGAAAAGGGGCGATTCGAGGGCTGCTCCAGCTCAGCGTCTCATCCCAGCGACGCGGCCATCCCAAGTAGGTGACGCGGCAGGTTCGCCGTTCCTCGTCCACGGACAGGACCTGAGCTTCCAGCCACTGGTGAACCGTGTCTGCGGGGCAAGGGAGGCGGGATGGGCGTGAGCTTATCTTAAAGTAAGCAATATTGCTTGAGCGGCAATTTCTGCCTGCTACGTCGGCCACCATGCTAGAGTGAGCACAAGTGAGGGATACCCTCAACCGATTTATCGGCTGGGTCCGCGTCACGGGACTCCTCTTTCCGCGACGGACCATCATTGACTCCAGCAAGGAACCCAGCAGCACCCGAGACATTCGATCCATACCTTTGACGTCGACGTACTGCCCTGGATACCAACGACGCCGCTCTCCAGCGTGGCCCATTTCAAGCGCCAGGCTTCTTTCGTCCGTCTGCAGCGCCCGCGCCCGCCCTCGGGTCATTGAAGCCGTCTGCCCAGACCCTTCTCCTGCGCTCCCCTGCACCATGGCAGTCGGAGCTTGCATCCCTGACAACAGAGAATACATGGTCATGAGCCCTTGACGAACGTGCTCGAGACTCTGCGGATTGACGTCGGCCTCCCGGTGGGCCCCTCCAGGAACGGGAGCTAGCACACCCGCCGACGCGGCTGCCGCCGCCATTCCCGCCGCTAGACTTCCCCCTCGCCCCCCAAAGACGTGAGGACCACCCATCAAAATACGGCGATAAGCACCGCCAGGTGCTGTGCCGGTGGCTAGCCCTGTGCGTGGGACTGGAGGCTGAGAGGAAGAGACAGGCACGCCGGCTGGGCGAGCGACACAATGAATAGTGTGCCCGGCCTCGACATTATACGTGCTGAGGTGCTCCCCGTCCTGCAAAACGCGACCTCTATAGATCAGCCGTTGCCTCTCTTCAGGAATTTGGGTGCAGTCCTGTCAGGAAAAGACAAAGGTTTTGTCAATGGCCATGAGCTACAGTTTTCTCGAGGAGTGTCTAGAAGCGGATAAATTTTGCCCAAAAACGATTTACATAGGGGGCTTCGTTTGTGTCTGACTGTATGACATGCACTCAACAAGTAAACGAAGGCCGTGGAACCAGGAAAATAGTATTACACAGCATGGCGCGATCGCAGCGTGACGTCGTCCCTATCCATCCCCTCCTCCCCAGACAGACCACTTTCTCAACCTCCAATACCTTGACTTGGACTTTAAGCGCTGACACAGAAGACTCAGCGGGTACTTGCAGCTGAAAATCACCCAACTGCAGCGTTTTAATCGTGATGCTCAGCATGATGCTGGAATCGCTCGGCGTTACCATATATTTTCGAGTCACTTCTTTCCTCAATTATTTGGCCCGCTCCTTCTCCGGCCGGCGGGAAGACGGGGAAATCGTGGGGCCGTAAGACCTGAACAACCCTTCAGCTGGTGGTGCAAGAGTATTATTCCTCGGTTAGTCGACGCAATGTCATCTTTCGAGAAAGAGAATGCAATTTCTCCCCATCGCTCCTCCGGAAATATGTGTCAGCCCTCGGCGGTCTCCTCCTCCGTGGGCGAGCCTGATGACGCCGGCGGCGAAGGAGGGTGCTGGCCCTTGTAAACTAGAAACAAATTTTGCGTTGCCACATTTACGCTCGTAATAACCATATGGACTCCTTTGAGTAGACATTTAGTTTACTTTGATCAACCAAAAGCTCATTTTCTCGTCGATAAGAGCCAAGAGCCCTTTCAAGAGAGCCTACCAGTTGGATGGGCCGAGAAACCACCGATCGAAAGTAGCTTTAGAGTGACAATGTGTTGTAGTTTGCTTTTCTTCTTCATGAGATACCTAAACCCCTTCATCCATCGTCCACGCTTCCTCAAAGTATTCTTAAATGCCGGTTGTCCATTACGCCGGTGGGAAATGTCGACTGTTTTTCAATCCCTTCAACTCTACGACTACGCGACTTCCACGACCTCGGAAAAAACGAGCTCAGATAGATTTCCTCTATACCCCGCGCTTCCTAATTGTCAACGGGACAAAGCTGTCCGGACAAGGTCAGCGGCTACTGGCTTAAAGTTTGCGGGCACCTCCCTCTGCTGCTCAAGGCGGTGCTGGAGCAATTGCTGAACAAGGAGCAGGGTTGTCTCTTCCGCGATGCGCTTGAAGGAGTCCTTGTCTATCACTTGCGCTCGATAATGGGGCGTTAAAAGGTCTTTGACGAGATTTAAAGCGGCCTCATAGCAGGCGTAGGCCGCGGCGTTGCTAGAATTGAGCCAAATGCGTGAGCTTGTCGATGATGAGGGCACAGGAGGCGATGACGGAAAGGATGCATTCGTGCCAGTGGAGCTCACTCCGCCCGTCAATGTTTGCAAAAATTGCTCGCACTCCGCCTTGAGCGGGGGAGGGGGGTTGGGACCCCCTGACCCAACCGTGCTCTCATGAGGTAGAGCGGGGCCCGGGGGCACCATGGAAGGCGGAGGTCCCCGAGGCGGGTAGACGTCCCGACTCAGATGAGGCTGGCTAGAAGGGCCGGATAGAGGCGGCTCTTGGACGCGACGTCGTTGGCTGGACGGAGAGCGAGAGCGGCCCAAGCTGCTCCTACCATTGTCGTGGGGGCGTTTTCCATTCTCAGGCGGGTAGGGCGGAAGCTGTGGCGGCATCATACCTCGAGGAGGTGAACGCGACCGTGGACGCCGCTGGCCGCTGTGAGAATGCGAAGGGGAGCGCCGATCCATAAGCGGCATCCCTCGGCTTCCAAACGGGTCGCGCTCCCGCTCAAGACCAGGGTCTCGGTCCACGCCTCGATGCCGGTAGCGGTCTCTCTCCCTTCCTCCGTACCCCGGCGGAGGGGAAGAAGGGCGGAGGGGCATGGGTGGGCCGCGATGCCGGTCATCCAGGTAGCTGGGTGGGGGCGGAAGCGAGCGCCCCTCCCGCCGACCTGGAGAGTGGCCTCGGTACTCGCTACGGGGAGGGGAGCGGGGGTAATAGTGTGGTGCATGTGGATGGTGGGGGTCTGGGTAATCGGGAGGAAATCGACGGTAGTCAGACGGGGGAGGGGAAGGGTAGCGCGGACGGCCCCTCTCGTGCATGTCGCGGGGATCCCGATGCCGCTCCAGAGGTGGGTCCCGAAAGGGCGGCGGGGGAGGGCCTCGGTCACGAGGGTGGGAGGGGATGGGGCCATCCCCATGACGAGGTGGAGGCTGGTGGTGCGGCGCAGGCGGGGACGGGGGGGCGTGCCGGGGGCCGTCGGGCGGGAGGCCCAGTTCCAGGCGCAAGTCGCGGAGGACAGCGTCCATACCTCGTTGGTTTCGACCAACGAGTGTAGAGATCCCTTCGTACAGCTCCCGGTTTTGCAGCGCGTCCTCCAAAGTCTGCCGTTGATGGGGCGGCAGGTGGCTTTGCATGAGAAAGACCAGCTCTCGGAGTTTCTCCAAGTCCTCCGCGTACACCTCGAAGGGAGGACAGCCCCGCGCGGCGGGCAGGACGAGCAGGCGGTTGGGCGGTAAGGGTGGGCCATCTGGAAAGGGAGGAGGATCTCGCTGGCGCTGACGGTCACGTTCTCTCTCTCCTGGACCATCGAAGCGAGAGGGAAAGGGCGGCTCCCCCCGCCCGTCCCGCATCCTCCGGTCCCGGGAACGTTCCCTGTCGCGAGAACGTCCACGCTCTCTCCCTCGAAACCCTTCCCGCTCTCTATCCCATTCCCGATCTCTCTCCCTCCCCCTTTCCCTCTCCCAACCCCGCTCCCTCTCCCTTTCCTTCTCCCTCTCGTTCCCCCCGCCGGCCATCCCCTGACGCCCCTGCCGGTCCCTTTCTCCCCGCAAGTGCGGGTCCTCCTTGGAGATGGTCTCGCGCAGCGCGTAATCGAGAAACAAATGCCGACCCCGCCATTCCTGATCGTGCCAACGCGCCATGGCCTGTTCGGCCTGTTCGACGGTCTCCAAAGAGAGGAAGGCAATGTTCGAGTTGGTGTTGATGACGACGATCATGACACGACCGAACGCCCCAAAAAGCTCCGAAAGATCCGTTTCCCTGACCCCCACCGGCAAGTTGTGCACGCGAATGCTCCGACAGGGCTTGTTGTTGCCCCTGGACTGATACTGGATCTTCATCACCTGCCGAGGCAAGTGTCCTGCCACGAAGGGCTTCCTGTCCAGTTCCTTCTTGGCACGAATCGCTTCGGCCGCGTCTTTGAAATGCAGGAAACCAGTCATACACTGCGCCGTCCGTCGCAACAATCGCACGGACTCTATGCCCCCGTAAGCCTTGAAAGCCTCCCGCAGGTGCTCCTCCTTGACACCGTTGGGCAGATTCCCTACGTACACATGGCGCGAGCCGCTCTCCCCCGCCGCCACCTTCCCATGCCCCGCGTCCCACCGGCTGGGCCCCCTCTCCCCCGGGCTCCTTCCTGGCCCCCCCTGCTCGACCTTGGGGGCAAGGCTAGAGACGGCTGCGTCCTCCATCACCTCCCCGTCCTCGGTCACGCCCCCCTCCTGCTCTACAGAAGGGTCTGCTGCCGCCTCGCCTTTCTCACCCTCCGGCGACCCATGTCCCTCCTCCTTCCCTTCCACCTCCTGGCCGTCCTTGGTATGACCGGCGTGGGGACCCGCCGGCGGGGAAAGGCCAGCGCTCAGTCCCGGGCCTCGTTGCTCTTGTTGCTGGCGAAAGTGCGAGACGAGGTTGTTGAGGAGAATGTTCTTCTTGAAGCGGAGTTTCTTCATGGGGTCCTCCCTCCCGTCCTCCGTCCCATAGGACGACCCAGCTTCCTCGCCGTTCCGACTGCCTGTTGACGGGTGTATGGCCGTTGTCTCAATGACGGTGCTGGAGGAAGGCGAGGACTCGTTCTTCGCCTCGCCCAAAGTTTCCTGCGTCTGGCTCTCCATGCGCGCCACCACGGCCCGCCACATGTGCAGGGCGGTCGGCCTGCCTCGGGCAAGAAGGGAGAGCGCAGCAACAGGGAAGATGGAAATGAGACTCAGACATCGCGACAAGGGGGGGAGCGGGTGGGGTAGCCTTTGAGATGTACTCAAGAAGGGGGGAGAAGGGAAGCCCGGAGGGAGAGCCAAGGGGTATGGGAGGGAAGCTTCGCATGCCCACCACTCCCCTATTAACAAGGCGGACAGACTCGACCAACAGGGCGGCACTCACTTGGCATCGTTGGGGCCGATGGCGACAAGACCGTTTTTGATGAAGCCCTCGTAGCACGCGCGGAGATCCTCGATGCGCGCCCGGCTTTTTCGAGGCGGAATCACGTCGAACCTCTTCAAGGCCTCCGCGATCAGCGCTTCTTCCATTTCTCGGGCCTTGTCCCCGCCCGAAATGGCCGTGACTTCCTTGCAGAGGGGGCAAGTGACCTCAGCCGTATTCGACCCGCTGTCGTGGAGGGCCAACCGTCTTGCACAGTCCAGGCAGAGCGAGTGGCTGCAGTCGAGAAGAATAGGCTCCACAAACCAGTCAATGCATATTGGGCACTTGAGCGTGTTCTCAATCTGATCCTCCGCGACGGGCGGGCTGCTTCGGGATCCGGCATGCTGGGAGAGAGCGGCGGCGGGAGACGAGAGCGGCAATGGCGGGATGGGCAGGGAGGCCGGGTGTGCGGTGGTAGCGCTGGTGCCCTCGGGGGCATCCACGGCGCCTTCCGTGTTCGGAGTTGCTGGTGTTGCTAGCATCGTGCGCGGGGGGCCTAGGCCTTAGGAGGGACTAAAAGCAGAAACAAGGGAGGCGGTCTGACAGCGAGGTAAGAAGTTACGGCTGGAGTTGCAGAACTTCTTGAGCCGGGCAACACAACCCAATGGAATGGAAAGCAAGAAAAAGGCGCGTGAATGCAGGAGCAATTCAGATCCCACACAGAAAAGATATAACCTTCTACGGAGGTACCTGTATGGAAGAAAATGTGTACAGGACAGAGGTGATATCAACGGGGGAAACGTGAGGACAAGCGCACACTGTTGTGCTAGACTGTTCGCTTCCAGACTGGCGTCGGATGATTTCCGGCCGTCAGGCAGCAGACAAGACCTCTCAAATGTAATGCATGGTATGTCGAGGCTGAAAGTGTCAAATCGAAGGGATACATCATCAGAAGAGTTAGGTCTGACACACAAGTATACCGTCCAACCAGTCATAGCTTTACAAACTTGTTTGGAAAGCCATGTGACTGATATAATAGCGACACTTTGCCTCATTCAATGGTTGTCGGCCGGGCTGGATATTTACGGTGACTCGGTGGTGTCTTCTCCTCATCAGGCATTTTGTTCTCTCCCGTCGCTTTTCATCCAGACGTTCTTCATTTTATCGTGCCACCTAAAACGACTGTACCTCAGTTTTGTTGCATGGAGATAGACTGCACTTGCTATTGACCACTTTGCATACCGGCAAATATGTCGGCTTCCAAGCCAGGAAAAATCTCGAGTCTGCAGTCTCAACATTGCGCCCTACCTGTGCTCCACCGTCGATTGAAGAGCTCAAGCCTCCGCCGGGACTCCTGCGATGACGGGGAGGTCGTGTGATGGAAAAAGACCCCAAAAGCTTCCTGCGCGGATAAGAGCGGTATCGATGACGATGATGGAAAAGACCTCAACAGGGTCGAGGCGACCACATGATGCGCTTCTGTGCAGGCCTTCGTTGCTGCGCTACGTTTACCTCATCGCCTCGTTTTCTGCCGTACAGGAGCACTTGGTCCCCATAGCAAGAACTCGAAAGCCGCGGAGCTAGATTGGCGCCCGGAAAGGTGATTGAAGGCTGTAATTTTGGTATAAAATTCTGCCCTCAAGTGTCCCGCTAGGCGTAACGATTGGAGGATACCAAGGCCTCCATACATCGGCGTCACTAGCCTGCCCATCAAGTCACTGGTTCATCAGTACCTTCGCAGTAAATACATGGCTTTACCAGTCCACGATGTTGAAGATCCAACGCCTGTCACGGTACGTTTGGTATAGCTCCAAAATTGTGTGGTTCGTGTAAGTACATGAGATGGCAAGGCTCGCTTTCAGTCGCCGGGCCGGTGGATCCTGTAACATTTTGATTAAGTCAACTGTATAATGTTTCAATACCCGTGTCATGGCAATATGTCTTCCAGTTACCAGCAAATAGCTTAGTTTAGCATTCGTCGTGCCCAGCGTTCCGAAACGGGCTCCCAGTGTGGTCATCTGACCCGACAAAATCCCGTACCTGTCATATTGGCACCATCAAAAACAACTTGATGAGCAATATGTTCAGTGCCAAGACGCAGCAGCATTGAGAAGTATTCTTACTTATTCTGTCTCTTTTGTCCCCTTGCCCTGCAACACCGGAATGGCAGGAGTCCTCCTCCTCCTCCGAGACAGGCTCTGAATCTGTAGGCTCCTTGGATGAGGAAGCGACGGACATGGCCTTCCATCAGAGATGCACAGTCTCTCACGGAAATGGGATCTTGAAAAAGACTTCCAATAATTCCACCTCTCGCAAAGACGAAAATGTGCCGTGCCATGCCACGCCCGCCACCTGCGGGAATGGCCGCTTCCCTTTATCCATCGTCCACGCTTCCTCAAAGTATTCTTAAATGCCGGTTGTCCATT